AAAAATGCCCGATACTATCGTTGAGCGGGGTTTCATCGAAGAAAAAACAGTCCATAACATACAGCAATAAATCCGGCTACTGGCGTAAAAATGAGCGCAACATGCAGAAATGTCACCTTGATTACGCAACTACATCCACAGCAGTTACCAACCTGTGTTCATCCTCTCCCAGCACAACCCATGTTCTTCTGCGTTGAACAGCATATTTCGAGATCAAGGCAAAAGCACGCATTACAATATCCGATGAAAAACCAGCTTCCTTGGTGACCTTCCAGTTGTCGACGTTCTCTGCGATGACCTACAAAAGGAAACTCATGTTAGGTTCTACCATAGGTGGGTGGAGACGTACACCTGCTCCTTGGGATTCGAAGATTTTCTCGAGCAACTCGAAGTCAGCGTCAATTATCTCCTCATCCTCCTCAAACGGACCCACAATGATTCCATTGGCCACAACCGCCCTTTGGCCAGGTGACAATCCAACCAACTCCCGGGCGAACCTAGGTGTATTGCAAGTCAAAATTTCGCAAGAGACTGTAGCAGAAATCTAAGCCTGCATGGTGCAAAATTATCAAAATCAAATGCAAAGATGAAGACGTACAATGTGTCCATCATGATTCGGTCATACGATAAACTTTTTCGTTCTTTATCAAAACGTTCGGAGTTGACTTCCTTGTTGAGAAGATTTTTTAAACTCTTGGAACCAGCACGGACGTCCTCCACGTTTTCCATCTGAGAAATCATAGTTTTGTTGATTAAGTTTTGCAACTGCCTAGTCTGTGACAAATAATATAATACGCACCTTCATGAGCTTGGCCACGAAATCCTTGGCGTGCTCATGGGGAAGAAGTTGAACTGCTGCATGAACAAGTGATGTGACACTGTTTGCTCCGCGAGATAACTCTTCGTCTTTGGGATTCATGATAAGTCCAAGCTGAAAACGAAGAACAGAAAGATAAATTACACTCAGCCTCCACTAAAACGACCGCATTCGTGTTACCAGAGAAGAGAATAAATGTTCTGATATGATGGTTTTTGCAACGTACGCGAATTTTATTACTCCTGCTTATTCGTTTCAGAGCACTGTCAACGAGTTCACGTCCTTTTGGATCATCCAAGTCAGCAATAATCCACAGCGTGAGAATCTGCAATAATGAGACTACATATTGTTCAGTTCCCAAACGGAATAATCAGAACGCACCGCCGTCAAATCCTTTCCACCCTTCTTGAAGTACTTCATATTTGTTAGTACACATTGTGTTTGCTGTGGAGCACTCAGCTTGGCAAAATCCGTATATTCTTTTACTTTACAATCTGAAAAACTGCTTCTGACGTTCCGAACAGTGACAGAAGCATTGAAAATACAAACCTGAGGAGGAGGAAAGATCCAGGATATTCTTCTTAGAGACAGCATTCAATATTCGCTCATTGTGACGTGGCATGACATCTTTTTGCTCCATTATCCAGTTTCCAACGTTTAAGCGGTCCTTGAGCTGACCTGCAACTCGGGTAGGATCTACTCATGCGATTCCAGAAATCTGTTGCAAATCTTAGCATCCAGCATTCAAGATTGATAATAGAAAGAAAACCATGGCTCACCGTTGATCACAGCAGTTTGCAGCTTTGGAGTGATGCGCATCACTTCCATCATAACGGTCTCTTCAAACTTATCACCAGTGATCTTAAATACAGAAAGTTGATGATCAGGTCGACAGACATGTAAGGACTTACGCCAGCGTCGTCGAGTGGGTAACCATTGAGAAGCACTTTTGGAGCTTTGCCTATGGCAGATTTTCTCAAAAACTCCATACCACCCTGAAAAATAAGGGTAGGGCATATTAGTGCAACTATTCACTTATCTAGTATAGTTTCCCAGTAGCAAAAAATACCACAAAAAACAACTAACAGTTTTTCCGCGATCATAGTCAGTGTTCGGACCAAACACATCCTTATAATCGGCGTCACTATAATTTTCCTCAAACCAGCTCTTGATATCAGCAGGATCGATGTCGTCTTGCGTACGGAACTGATCTAGCATCTGCAAGCAGAGGAGATGATATCTGATGTACAATTTAGAAGAGACAAATGACCTCGTTGACTATCTTGAGTGCTTCATGGTTGGTGCTGTCTATGGCAAGAAAGTTGAACAAATTAAGAATTGCGACTCCAGTGTCTTCCAAACCGCTTACTTTCTTGTCGTCATTAACAACAAAGATTAACCCAATCCTGCAAATGCTCTCTGTTTTCCTCAAGTATTTACAGAACTTTTCAAGCCATACCTCAAAGGGATCTCGTGCTTGAAGAACGAGTATGCTATCTGCATAAGGTTTCTGCTGTTGCGCTCTGCCGGATCAACAACGAAAATCTGTACAATCTCGAATCAGTGAAGTACGTAGATCGTTATGAATTTGTCGAACCAAGTTGAAGAGATTTCGTGCTATCGGGCGAATCATGCCAGGATAGTAGGGCTCCAACAGCAACTTGACGCTGTTCCTCCAGTGTTTATAGCGCTTGTCGGTATCGAGGTTGTTGAGGTACTGAACATAATGTATGATGGGAGAAAGTAAACAACATTATGACCTCATTTTTAAAGCACCATGTCCATCAGCCAAACTTCAATTTGAAACTGATCTTCGTGAAAGTATAGACACATCAACATATTAGTTTTGAAGGACTGGCTCTGTTGCTCCGCTTCCGCAATGCAAAAATATTATGCTAAAAATAACCTACCACAAGATCAGCATCTCTGTAGTCAACCGCATACCTGCCTTTTTCTTCAGAAAATTCCATGCCAGTCAGAATAGAGAGGTACTCCCGCTGCAACATAGATTTAATAAGATGTTCCACTAAAAGCTCATTTATACCTGGAAACCCATGTTCGAGAAGCCAGAAGCAACGCGCTCCTCCTGCTTAATGGTATCCACAAGTTGGAACATGTCCAAGCTGTCAACATCGAGACCGATTCCATTCAGAAACAGCATCGACTCCCCAGGGCTCAGTCCTGGAACAGTCTCATGTCCTGTCAATCAAGAAATGAAAATCGAACATTACCAGCATCTGAGAGATGTTCTTTTTGATTCAGCTCAATACCCTGCCTCAGTTCACGTGAAACGCTCTCACGTGCTATGGATCTGAACACAGCCAAGAATTTAATAATTTGAATTAGTCAACTAATTCTATACCTTGCATGCGTCGGGAAATTCTGAGACAACTCCTTCAACGTATCAAGGGCGTGATAAGCACCTTCATTGACTATGCGCTGGGACGCCTAAAAAAGACAATACGACGATAACAGATGTAGATATGTGATACTAACACTTCATGAAACTATCAAAACATGCATCCTCTGTGCTTCCGCTGGCACATCAGATACTAGAGCGCTGTTAGATCTTATATAAAGACATATCACCGCAAAATGATCGGTCAAGTTTTTAGGGTGTAGCAAAGAGATGAATGAGCTACTTGCTTTCGATGGTTTCATTTCGTGTAGTTAGAATAAAATGGGCGCTGGTTGTTCTTACTTTACTTCCTATTTTGTCCCTTTTCTTAGATCTCCGCCGCTGATTCTAGTAAAGACTGGCTTAAATTAAGACATACACAAAAGTAACCTCAATTTCTGCGATTAGCTAAACGTACGATTGGAGCAACAAACACAAAGAATGGCGTGCGAAACAAGGACTGAATTCGCGGAAGGTATGCATTGGGCCTAACACTGAAAACCACTGGAAGTGAAGAAATAACGCATGAGATGAAACCTCCATCAAACACAAAAAAGCTTTAGGAATTAAAAGTAAGAACAAATCAACACTACAACCAAGAGAATGAGTGACCGAGCAGAAACTTTTAATGCTACCTGGAATGAGAGATCCTGAACCTGCCACTGCTTTAAAGGTGCTAATTCTTCAATTTCTTTCAGATGAATGCGGAATGCATCCAATGATTCAGCGGCATCGGGATGGAGCTCTCTGAAAGAAAAAATCAGCTAAAGATATGTGGAGCACACTATGTATACAAATACATACTTGAGGAGTTTGAAATTGAAACCATGGAGACTGGTCTCCTCCGCTTCCTCTTTCTTCACATTACTGTCATCTACAGCCTTATATTCAGTGTTTTTGATAGCAAGTTCGACACCATATCCCGACAGCGATACGGAACGTGCACTCTGAAGTCGCACTTTTACCAATTCAGAGCTCATCTACTGATTTGAATCAACTCACTATCGTGTTTTTCTGGAAATGCCGCAGCACGTACTGTGCCTTATTAGATGCTGACAGTTCAAGAGCTTTATTGTGCAATTGCAACCAGTCTTGGGAACCAATGTCGCCGTATATGATGACAACTGTTTTTGGCGACGAATCTTTTCCATTGACGTGATCGGTGGATAGCAGTTCTGGTACATCCCTGAGACAATTTGGCTCAATTTTTTCGAGCAAAAGACAACTCGATAAGGAAGCAGAAAATGGCATGGAAACTGAGCGTTCCTTACTTGCACTTAATTTTTCCATCAACATTTCGTACAGAAAATATGCCTGTCATGCAAAATAAACCCACCTTTGTGAAGCAGAATTTACGGCATCTTCCAATCCTTTTGAGGTGCACCCAGTTGTACCATGCACGTCGAAGAAAGCCGCACAATCCACAGAGTAATCGGAAGCAATCTAAATAAAATTCCAATCACAGACACGCGAATGGTCAACGGTTCGTCAAACAATTACTAAAGGCTTATGACGCACCTGTTGAAAGAGATGAACAGCAGGGGAAAACATTCTGTAGGAAAGTGAGAGCTTCAGGATATCCATTGAAGGTTCATCAAGAATTCCTGCAGCTACTTCCAAAGCAAACTCGTACTTTTGCTCATCACTGGCTGAAGAAAGGATTGAAGCAAATACCCGAATAGTGAGCGTGCGTTGAAATAACCTTTGTTCCAATCCAACTTTGAGGACTTCGCAGCAACGTCGTTGGTAAACTTCCAAAATAAGGAACCATCTTCTTTTGCGATAAATTCGCTGAAAGAAAACCCAGTGCCGTCCATAACACATAATTCGTCAAGATAGTACAACTAGAGATATTGCAACTGGTCATGTCAGTGATTAAAAGAATTTGGACATCAATGAAACATGACATAATTTGAGAATATCAGCTTTAGCTTGCGATGGCAGGCCTACACCGATATTCGCTGACAACATGCTAAACTGTGAGTACGTATCCGCCACAGCAGAAGTGCTCAAGCAAA